AGTGAAACCATGGTTAAGGGGGGTGACGGCCTTAGAAGATTTTGTGGGCTCAGTTCCAGAGCACCTCAGTAAAACAAGGACAGCAATAAAGCAAATCATGAATTTTTGGTTTCCCAGTGCATATACAAATTATGTTTATACTCTTAAGTGTGTAATGACATTATGTCTAAAAAGATGTATATACCTTAATTTAAAAACTCTTTACTGCTGAAGAATGCTAACCATTATCTGGGCCTTTAGTGAGTTGTAATCTTATTGTTGGGGCAGAGTCTTGCCCTAGTAACATGAGAGTTGACTAACCACAGGTCACCATAACAAATAGAATAATAATAATGAAAAAGTTTGAAATATTGTGAGAACTGCTGAAATGTGACCCAGAGACACAATCTGAGCAGATATTATTGGAAAAATGGTGCCTACATGATCCAGACACTGGCCCTCAGTGCCTGTGTCATTATGGATGAAATGAGACATTCACACAGACTACCGAGTCCAGTGGAGGAAAAGGGACAGCATGACTTTTCTCTCAAGGGGAGCAAAAGCCTTGGCCCTTGCCGTGACCACCTTTATTGGGTTTCTCGGCACATAACATGATGGTCCTCATTTACTATGCACAGATTCACTTTTGGTGGTTACCTTTTACAGAAAACAAAGGAGCCAATACCGCTAATCATATTACAAAAGAGGGATATTTGCAAATGAAAAAGCAAAAGTGGTTGAACCGATTACATTCATCCTTGGAAGATTTAGCATGGATTTTAGGAAGTTACTTTGCAGTAAATGTCCTCAATTCAGGGTGAGGGAGTTTTTTAACAAGAGCAAGACTCAAAGCAGCCTAGGCACCTTGCAGGCCTGATTCCCCACAGCAGAACCTATCTGCAGGCATGGGCCCTGTGCATCTCCGAGTGGGAGCTGGGCCCATGCCATGCAGAATGGTCTCCTACACTTACAGACTTGCCCAACAAAAGGTTGCCACAAACCTTCAGTTTCTAAAATATACACAATATATGTGAAGTGCAACAAAACAAATGCAGCTGGCCCAGGTGCTGTTATTCACACCTACCAGTCCTGTAGCAATGAGAGAGAAAAGTAGAGTAGCAATGCACATCACAGAAAAAGATTTCTAGGCTGCAACTTTTAGTCTGAAAAATTATTGGTAAACCAAGCTATCTCTGGAGTCTTGAGAATTGAGTGCAAATAATTACAAAATACTCATTCCAGAAATCATGTGACAGCCTTGTAATCAGTAGTGATGCAAATGTCCTCAAAGTGGTTTCCAAGTTTTTCTCACCAGTGGAATTTTTTATTCAAATAAAAACCCTATGGAATTCCAATATATAACACAAACAAAAATGATAAGGAGACTTTTCAGGTAGGTGTGTGTCTGTGTGCATGTTAGTTATTTCTTCTGCCTTGTAGAAACTTTGAGGCACCCCTCCAGAACATTGGAGTTCCATGTACATAGAATGAAAAGTTTAAATTACATACTTACATTTTACAGTAAGCCAACATCTGTTAAAATATCAACATTTGTTGATATAATTGTGTTTGTGATACTTCTTTTAAAAATATGTCCATTATTTTCTGAACACCTATCCTATGTATAACACCAACATATCAACAGGCCAAAAGATAAGTTACTGATCATAAGAATTTAGCTAAAATATAGAAACAATCCAAGTGTTGCACAACAAATGAATGGATAGCATAATATGGTTTATTTATACAGTGGAATATTAAGAGTTAAAGGAAATTCTGAGATATACTACAACATGAATTAAGCTTGAGGACATGCTGAGTGAAATAAAACAGTTACACAAACAAAAACCCCCACCACATACTGCATGATTCCACTCACATACTTAGAGTAATAAAAATCATAGAGACAGGATATAGAATGGTGGTTATCAGGGGCTGGGGGAAAAAAAGAAAAGGGGGTTATTTTTTAATGGGAACAGAATTTCAGTTTTGCAAGATGAAAAGTATTCTGGAGATGGATGGTGGGGATGGTTGCACAATAATATGAATGTATTTAATACCACTGAATGGTATTGGTTAAGGTACTTAATTTTATGTTATATGTATTTTACCACAATGAAAAATTTAGAAAAAAAAAATCCAGTATGGTCCAGGTTAAATATTATACATATAGCAATAAATTATGAAACATATTTCTGAAAACTTTCATAGTTTCTGATAGTAATTTTACCAGTGTGCCTCACCATTGGAGAATGTATTATATTAAAATAAAAATTTATTAAAAATAATTTAATATCTAAGATATCACAGGAAAGAAAGTTTATGTAGACAATGAGATATTGTAGAAGCATATAAAATGAGATAACAAAGAAATAATCATTGAAATCATTATAAAAATAAAACATGTAACTGTTCTATAACAAATTACTGTATTCTAGTTCTTTTATTAGGATGAACAATTAAGAACATTCTAACTTGAAACATTAATACTTGAGGAAATGGTTTGGTGTTTGTTTTTTGTTTTAAATTTTATTTTAATCGTTGTTCAAGTACAGCTTTCTGTCCTTTATTCCCATCCCAGCCCACCCACTGGTTTGTTAGTTTTTTATGCTCAAACAAAGGTGCCAAAGGCTGGCAGTGGCAGCAGTGTCACCAGCAGGGAACTGTCTTGGTTGAAGATGGAGACTTACATGATCGTAATGAGACACTGAGCTAAGATAAGAGAGGCAGAGAATCCCTGAAGACCCTTCATACAAGCAGGGCAGGTGAGAACAATGTATTCAAACCTTATCACTAGTCACTGTTAGAGAGACAAGGATCAGTAAGGAGGACAACTGTCAGTCATAAAGAAGAGAACACTGCTTATTCCGTTTGTCATTCATTCATCAAACATTTATTGAGCACCTGCAATGTACCAGGCAGTGTCTTAGGGATACAGAGGTGACTAAGAAATAATTTTCTTTGCTTGATAAATTCACAAAGTAGTTCAGGGGACAGTGGGAGGTTAATTCTTGGCAATACTATAAGAAAAGTTCTCTAAGAAACTTCTGTTAAAATAAGGTTGTATCACATGATAGAAATCAACTAGCTCTGAGCCAGTGTCACAGAGATTTTGGCAATGGATCTGGAAAGATGGGTGATGCAGTGGTGCATGCAGGGCTAATATCCTATGTTGCATGTAATTGGTTGTTGTGAGAGTTCAAATTCATCATTTGGGTGAAAGCTATTTACAAAGGCATACTGACTATGAAGGTTTAAGGTGCAAGTCACAAACTTAGACACAAAATTGTTTAAATAATCATGGAGTTTATCAATTCATATAACAAGAATTTCAGAAATGAAGTGGCCTCAGTTCCTCTCTGCTTTGGACCCTGCCATTCTCAGTTTTGGCTTTATCTTTGAGTTGGTAACACAAGAAAGCAAACTGTGTAGAGGCAAAGGGACACTACCCCTCTGGCTCTCTCCAAGGGGTAAAGACATTTGATAGAAGTCGAAATTTTACTCTCCCACTTGCCTCACGAGCCTTCTGAGTGCTAAAATTGGCCACAGGATTGATTTCTGGCAGGGTAATTAAAGAAAGGATGGTTACACCAATGGAAGACCTTTTTCCCACTAGCCTACTGGCAAACACATGCAGTCATGTATGTTTGCTGTCTTTCAGAAGAGAGTGCACACACACCTATTACCAGTTAGGCAAGATCTAGTCAAGTGCTCTTCATTAGAACCTCATCTTTGAGGACATTTTCAACTGTGAAGGCACTTACCTTGAGCCCAGGTCTTAGTTTCCTGAAACTAACTCTAAGAAGTTTGCTTCCTGTTTTGCCTTCCTGATATTTTAATAAGTATTCTGACTATTAAGACACTGCATTATAAATTTACTTTTTATATGTTTTCATCAAAAGAAGTTCTTTAGCCTACTTAATTTATAAACTTGTGGTGCCAAAACATCAACAACCTTCTTAAAAAATTTGTTTTTTTAACAAAGAGATGGTTTGAATAAATATTTCTATGAATTGAAGTAATATTTAACACAGGCAGAAAATAGTATGAATATTCTTCTGATTTTCCAGCCTTCATCAAAACAACTGGAGCTCAGAGCTGTGACACAAATCTGCAGCCTCTGACTCAACTCCTTTTTAGTAAACACAGTACCTGCAAAGTTCACTTCCACTACTTGGGTTGCAGATGATTTCAGACATAAATGCACAAAGATTTAAATTATCTGCTTCTTTGTCCTTAGAATGCATGTATCAAAATACTATATCTCCTCTGAAAACTTTCCTTCACAATTTCAAGTGGTGTTTTTTAAAATTGAGCTTACTTTGTAAGCCTAAAAGATGAATTTTACAATCATTAGCCCTACCACCATTTTTTAGCTTAAATCACAGAACACTAATTAATGATAATTGTTACTTTTCTTCCCTGTTCACAATCGCTCTTGATGAAGAACAATGATAAAATTAATGATAGCCCACACCTCACTCCAAGCAATTATCAGTTCATCAACCCTGCAAGGAAGGGAGGGGAAGATATTATTTTAATGAAGAGAGTTCTCTGATAATGTGATTTGTCCAAACAAAAAACCAGCTGAGGTGTGGCCAAGTAAGATGTCCTTGTATCAGGAGAGACAACACCTCAGTCAGGTGTTTGTTAGACATCTCTCAGGAGATTCCTTCAGCATTGCCTAGATATTAATTCAAAAGGCCAATATCTATGGAAAATTATTTCCATTCCACAAGTTACATTTATCAGGTGGACCTGGGATATAACTCTGTTTGCCAGAAGCTATAATCATCGACCTAAATTCAACTTCCCATGTTAATTTTCTGCTTCTTAATTTGGAGGTAGACAAAATGACTCAATGTTGATGCCTGGACTCTTTGGTCTTGCTGCTACTCATTGGCCATTTCAAAAGAGTCATGTGATGAAGATGTGTTTTAAATGAAAATGCTGTAGCACTGTGTTGCCTATGGCTCTTTGGCTTCTGGTTGTGAGTGCCTCTTCTCTGCAAGCTTTCCATCATGATCGAGCCCTTTTTGGGAACTTGGAAACTGGAATCCAGTGAAAACTTTGAGGAATACTTGGAACAACTAGGTGAGAAATACCATTGCAAGGTTTGGAAACTGGCCACATATTTTGTGATGGGGTTGAGTTTGTACTTTACCATGAGTGACCTGAGAGTACATTCGCATGAGATTAATAAAGTTTATGTAGTTACTTTTGCTTTTTTATTACTAGTAATAATTCTCTGTTCTGGGAATACTATGTTTACATATACTTCTTTCTAGTCATCATTCATATATTTAAGTCCATTTATCCTTAATAAAAATATTTGAAGAAATATTTTGAAAATAACCTCTTCATAAAACTTCTCTTCAGCTTGATTATTTCATCAAATAGCTTTTCCAAGCTTCAAATGTATAGATACTAATAACTATCTATAATTAAATTTATCAACTAAATTTGTTTCAAGGTCTGCTTTAAGTTGTAACTTCAAAAGAGAAATAACAACAAAGTTCAGTTGGTTAATTTTTAGAGTTTGATAACTGTGGAAGATATTTTTAAAACATTGTTTTGAAGAATTTCAAATTTTCCATCGGAGAAATGAAACACTTTTCCTCATTAAATATCTCACCATTGGCTATTTCTCAGACATATGAACCCTACCTATCCTTGAGCTCTTACCCAAGTTGTGTAAACATCTATTACAGTGGCTTGGGTTTATAGCAGCTAAACTATTTTTTAATAATGCTAGAAGAACTGCTAATTAAGAAATTTTAATGTTTAATTAAGAGAAACTTCCCTTGCTATAATAAATCTTATATAAAGTGATAAAGTGAAGAATTTTTTAACTTACTTTTTTATTATATTTTGTTTTATTGTTTAATTTTAAGTTGGACTTCATTCAACTCCTTTCTTTTAAAAAAAATTTATTGTTCAAGTACAGTTGCTCCATTCCCCCCACATACACACATAATTTCCCCTCCATTCCAGCCATCTCCACCTCCCACCCTCCATCCTACCCCCCTTTGGCTTTGTCCATGTGTCCTTTACAGTTGTTCCTGAAAACCCTTCCCCCACTTCCCCCATTATCCCCTCCCACCTCCTCTCTGGTTACTGTCAGTTTGTTCTTAATTTCAATGTCCCTGGTTATATTTTCCTTTCTTGTTTGTTTTGTTGCTTAGGTTCCACTTATAAGTGAGATTATATGGTATTTGTCTTTCACCACCTGGCTTATTTCACTTAACATAATGCTTTCCAGTTCCATCCATGCTGTCGCAAAGGATAGGACCTCCTTCTTTCTTTCTGGTGGGTAGTATTCCATTGTTTAAATGTACCATAGTTTTTTTTATCCATTCATTTACTGATGGGCATTTAGGTTGCCCATCCAGCACTTAGCTATTGTAAATTGTACTGCCATGAACACTGGGGTGCATAGGTTCTTTTGAATTGGTGTTTTGGGATGCTTAGGGTATATTCCCAGCAGTGGAATTGCTGGGTCAAAAGCCAGTTCTATTTTTAGTTTTCTAAGGAAATTCCATACTGTTTTCCACAGTGGGTGCACCAGTCTGCAATGCAACATAAGAAGTCAATGTGCTCATAATACAATATTTGTAATTTTTCATAATCTGTATTAACTTCTTGGGGAATAATTAAAAAATATTTTTCTATCTCTTCATGGATTCATAAACTCACCTGTTTTGAGCTTAAATTTGGGGGTATCTAAGAAACTTGGGACTTCTGGCAAAAGGGTTTGTGTTGGTTGGGAGCTGGACTTAGGCAGAGGCAAGAGGGCCTAACAGCTGAGAACCTACTATGTGCACCACTTACAACGTAAGCCCTTCTACTTCACCTGTCACACACACACCTGTTAGGTAAGTCCTATAGCTGTGCACATTTGACTATTGAGATAACATGCCAAAGCTGGCAAAGTTGGAGCTTGGGCTAAAGCCAACAACATCACCCTTCCTTCTTCTGGGACACATGTTTAACACTGTTCCTCTGAAGTCAGATCGTCCTTTCATCCCATAATCTGAACGTGAAATGAGTCTGATTTTGATGCTGATTTTGAGTCAGCTCTTCTGGACATTCTGTAGAGGTCAAGTTGGACAATGGACCAACATGAACAATAGGGCTAGGTTCTCAGCCAAATGGTTGTTTGCCACCTCCTCAGCAAGATGGTATTGAACCTGCAAATGAGACAGGTGCTTGAACTTTTTAAGTCATGTTCTTTTAAAGCAGTTTAGGTACGTTGAAGATTGTATTTCTTGATTTTTTAGAAAAAATGCTAAAATTCATAAAAAATTAGAAAATGTGTGTTTAAGTCTCAGCTCTGCTACCACCAGACACATCACTTAGAGTGATCCTTCCAAACTTTCTGGGCCCATGGATCCTCATCTCCAGAATGAGGATAATGACATCCTTTATACCAACCAGCATCTGATTACCTGAAAGGCATTATACAAATACTCACTTTAGATGAAGCATAGCCTCAAAAAATGAAGTTAGCTTTGCAAAATAACAAGCATAATTACCAGACATACCTTCTGATTGGGAGAGTCTGGCTCGATTCACCTATGACAGAGAACATTGAAGAAATTACCTCACATCATCCAAAATATCAATGGGGGAAGCATGCATTATTTTTAAATTGCTTCCAAAATAATTGTTAGCACTTTTTCCTAAATGTCTTAAGAAAGGCTGCTGCTTTCTCTGTGTTACAGGAGTGCCTGTTACAATCCGGCACCTAGCCGCATTAGAGAAGCCAAAAATCAGTATTAGCACCAATGGGGATAAGGTGAGCATCAAAACAGAGAGCTCTTTCAAGAACTTTGAGATCTCCTTCAAGCTAGGGGAAGAGTTTGATGAAACCACAGCAGATAACCGGAAAGTGAAGGTAAGAGCTAAATCATCCTGATGTTTCCCAAACAGGAAAAACCAAGAAGGTGGTTGGGAAAGGTTTATTCATACCTAATTTGATTAATTACCAAGTCAGCCAGGACTTGTTTTATTCATTAATGTTGTACATCTTTAATGCCAGTCTTTTTGTAAATCATTCTGATGTTTAACAGAGGCAAAAAATTTAACATGTTTTTCACCTTTTTTCAGATCTCTCTTTGCCATTGTATTAAAAAGCTTATAGAGGAAAACAATAATCCACAAATAGTTTGTGTATCATTTGGTAGAGAAGGGCATTAACTGAACGCTGTCTTGAGACTTGTCTAGTTTTATAGTACTAAATTACAACAGGAACTGAAGTGAGGATTTTGGAGGAAAAATTTCAAAAGAGAGATTAAAAAGTAGTCTTATGTAGGTTAGAATGGAGTGAACTGCTATTTCTAACTGATTCCTTTACGCATTTATAGAGCATCATAACACTAGATGATGACTCACTGGTCCATGTCCAAAAATGGCTTGGCAAAGAGACAACAATCAAAAGACACATTGTAGATGGAAAAATGGTAGCGGTGAGTTTTCTCTAAATGAAACTTTTTAGATGCTCCTATTTGAAGTAGGCCTCTCAAGTTACTCCGTTGCTCTGCCTGCATCCCAATTTGAGGGTCTGGGGAAGGGGGGCACAGAAAGCTTAACCTGTCAACTACCAGCTCTAACAAATCCCTCTTTGCTTTTAGAAACATACCATGAATAATGTTGTCAGCACACGAGTCTACAAAAAAGCATGAGGAAAGTGTCTACATCAGAGAAAACATGCTCACTAACCGAAAATGGGAGCTTGATGAAGATATGCCTCAGGGCCAATGATTTTTAAAATTGCTTCATAAAAATTTGCTCAATAAAAGCATCAAATTCAGTGTAGTTTGGAGCTGTGTGATATTGAGAGTTAGGAACAATCTGATAAATTGGTGGGGCAAGAAGCTACTTGCCTGTGGTGTGATTGTAAGTGCACTAATATTCTCTTTGTCTTCTACCCACCTGACTTCTACAGTCTGGAGTTCTCCCCAGGGGAACAGTTCCATTTAGATTAGGGCATCTGTCAAATGGTGCTCTATGGAAATTCATGTGACCTCTAAGGGGGAAATGTTGTAATCCTTGGAAGCTGCTTTGGGCAACACAGGTGGTGAAAATAGACATTGCTAGCTTTTTATTTTTGCAGAAAGCTGGCTCCACTTAAAGCAGTTAGGATGGATGGATGGATGGATGGATGTATACATAGATGTATACTTGGATAGATAAATAGGTAGATAACAAAATAGAGCCTGGAAATCATACACTGTGGTTGAATTATTATAGAAGAACATTTAAAAACAATTATTGTCTTCCTTACCCATAAACCCACTTAAAATAACTAGGCTACTGCATCTGCTACCACTTTTACAATGCAGTCTTTGCAGAACTATATTTCATTAAATGCCAGCCCTGAATTTCTAAATGCTCAGTAAGAATACAATTATTGAAGCTACACAAAGTCCTTTAAGAATTTAACTAAGTACTGTCACTAGGAAGTACTTTTAGGGCTCAGAGCAAAACCTAGCAATAGAGGTAAAATTAAAAGGTAAATCCTAAAAAACTGAGAATGTTTGTAGCAGTGGGAAGAGAAAAGGAGAAAAAAATAGGTATTGTGTTGCATCTTAAATTAAAAAAAATAAATAATAGTTGGTCAAAAATAAGTCTGGAGTTGTGTTTAATGGGTGCTTAAATAGAATATCCATGTCATTTGTCGTGTATACTGGTGGAAAGTAAAATTGGAAAGGGTCACTATCAGTGATTACACCTGGATGAGAGGCATAGACTGGAACTATCCTGGGCAAACTTGGAGGGGAGTCATCATGGTTAGGACAAAATTGAAGGGTAATGTGCAGGACTGAGTATGGAGTTGGGACCAGAACTGAACCCCCACACAGAAAGAAACTAGGGCTGTCAGATGAAATCGTGAAGACCTCTGAGCATACAGCTGAAGTGACAGCCTTGGTGGTGGTCACACAGCTGCCAGATGTAAACAATGACATTCATTCCCACATGACTTGTCCTTGCTGGTTCTTCCCTAAAGGGCTCAACTATGTACAAAATGTAACCATGTCTGCTCTCCAAAAGTCAACGAGGGTTTTAACCCCCAAGGTAATGTCCTGTTCACAAAAGGGTCACAACTCCTTAATTAGAGGACAGCTGCCTTAGTAACACCCCAGTTAAGGATTGAGGCTGTGTTCTACAATCATCAGGGAGAAGACATTCTAAAAAATACTAGGCTTATTTTATTCAAATCTTTGGCTTTGCAGAAGCATAATTAAGAAGAGAATAGTACAGTTCTGCATTTCCCAGACTTATTTCTCCTCTCATAAATGTAAGAGGTCAAAGCACAAGAAACAGAATCCTGATGTTGGGTCTTTATTTGCTTAGATTTTTATTGTTGTTCAAGTACAGTTGTCTCCATTTCCCCACACAACTTCCTTCCATCCCAGCCATCTCCACCTCCCATCTTCAATCCTAACCCCCTTGACAACCCTTCCCCTTTTCCCCCCATTATGCCCCTCTCACCTCCCGTCTAGTTACTGTCATTTTGTTCTTAATTCCATTGTCTGTGGTTATATATTGCTTGCTTGTTTTTTTGTTGATTAGGTTCCACTTATAGGTGAGATCATATGGTATTTGTCTTTCACTGCCTGGCTTATTTCACTTAACATAATGCTTTCCAGTTCCATCCATGCTGTCGCAAAGGACAGCACCTCCTTCTTTCTTTCTGGTGGGTAGTATTCCATTGTGTAAATGTACCATAGTTTTTTTTATCCATTTATTTACTGTTGGGCACTTAGGTTGCTTCCAACACTTGGCTATTTAGTAGGTGGCATCAAACATAACACTCTTGAGGAAATCATTCATTCAATAAGTTCTTACTCAGCCACCACTGTCTGTTCATGCTGTATTGGGTGCTAGAACACAGCATATAGGTTAGACATGGAGTTCACAACTGTCTTCTGATGTTACAAGCAACAGAGGCATCAAGAAACCCTACTGCCTTCTTTTTTTTTTCCTCAGTCAAATCATGTTAAAATGTCTGTTAGAAAAAATTCATTAAAGTTTATACTTAGACTCATTACAAGACCAGTCCCTTGGTGTATCTGACTTGCTTTAAATGTCATTATCTATGAGTAAGTGATAACATGTCACATTTATCAAGTTGTATTAGATTTATCATTATCTATAAGTAAATGATAATATGGCATTTTAATCAAGTTTTATTGGAAATAACAGAACTTTTCATTATAGTGAGTTAAGCAATGAAAAGCCATTATTCACTCACTTTCCAAAAGGGTTTGAAAAAAGGAAGTAGAATATATCTTATGAACCTCATGGAAAAAATACACTTTATTTTTTAATATTTTTGTTGAAAATAATTTAGTAGTTAACCATTATATTTTAAATACATGTAGATGTTAATAGGAAAATATTAATTTTCTAAAGATCAATCATACTAGAATCATGATTAATATTATTATCAAAGAATAATGCACCAGGTTTCTTTTTTTCTGCCCAATACTATTTAGTAACTCACTGACAAAAATAATTTTTGAACATTATTAGTGTATTTGATTTTCATACTTTTTGCATAAAAATGCAATTAACACAAGTGGACATCCAAAGATAGTAACCAAAAATAGATGGAAAATTAGGATGAAGTGTCAGGGTATAACTTAATCCCCAAGTTATGAATTCTAAAGGTTTCTTTTGGACATTTAGGGGAAAATACAGTCTGTCCATTTTGAAGTTAGGTATCTAGATATGTAAGATTTGGAGAGGGACAAGGTGGTGGGGGGGACATCTATTGACCAGTCCCAAGACAGAATGGAGTCCACTGTTGTCCAGAAATGTACTGAAGTGAAGTGGGATGAATGAATTTGAGTCCTCCTCCTGCCACTGTCAGCTATGTGAGCATGAAATTAGCTGTGTAACCACTGAATTTTTCTCCTTTGAGAAATGGAGAAATCTACATCACAGGGCTGTGGGGAGGTTAAAGACCTTATGCAATGGACCAGTACAGGAAATCCCTCATCTTCTCATAATTTCCACAGCCCCTTCTAGATTATAAAAGGATTTGAATGCACAGAGTAGGAACAATGTAACGGAGGGCATGTTCAACACACAGTGGGCAGAAAAGTCAGAGCAGAAGAGTCTCAGTGGAGGTAAGCTTTGAACAAGGTTTGGAAGCAACTCAATAGTTACAAAGGGGCATTGGAGAGAATGAGCAGGGAAATGGATTCTGGTTTGCTTTGTAAAATAGAATTCAGATTTCAGTAGATGTTTATTAAAAGTAATACCTTCCAGTACATAAATTACAAAGCAACTTGACAAAGTAAGATATGTAAATTATACATTCAGTCTTCATACCATCTCAACTACTGAAAAAATTTTGTAAGACAATCAAAGAAAAAGAAGCAGAAAATTAAGTAGGCTACCGGAATCACACAAGATTAGACAATCACCTGCATTTTTATGTTTATACAGTATGGGGCAAAAGTAGGTTTACAGGTGTTCATATTAAAAATAATACAATAATTAATAGATGAAATACAAGAATAAACTATGTTTCACATACTCACAACTGTAAACCTGCTTTTATCTCATCCTGTATTTGTTCTTCATGAAATAAAACTACAGACATTTTTTACTGTGCTTTACTAGTGAATTTTTTTATTGTCATTCAAGTACAATTATCTGTCTTTCCCGCTCCCCCATCCCCAACACCTCAGCCCTCCCCACCTCCTTCCCCCATTTCTACCCCCACTTGTTGTTGTCCATATGTCCTTTATAATTGTTCCTATAAACCCTTCACCCTTCTCCCCCTTTATCTCCTCCCCTCTCCCTTCTGATCACTGTCAGCCTGTTCTCAATTTCAATGTCTTTGGCTATACTTTGCTAGCTTGTTCATTTTTTTTATTAGGTTCCTGTTAAAGGTGAGGTTTATCTAAAGGAATTCTTTTGTCCCATCAGCTGTAAGGGAGCAGATGGCTGAATCCTTACAAGGATTTCCTATGGCTCTTTGTGCCTGAAAAGTTCACCCTACTTTCATGCCCTTAATATCACTTTTTCTCTAAGAGGAAATGCAAATTTAAAAAACAAACAAAACAAAACAAAAAACCATTGTCAACCCAGGATGTGCTGTAATGATTAGAGAAAAAACCTGAAGCTCAGAAATTCCATCTTCTATTTCCTCCCCAATGAATGAGTAACTTCAATTCTCAGGTGCCTTAGGGATAATGACTTGAAATCTTAGACTAGACTTTGGAAAAGACACTGTGCATATTAGAGTCCAGTAAAAAGAAAGCCAATTGCATTCTTTAAAGGAATCACAAACCACTTCTTCCCTCCCTTTTGCTATTCAACAAAAGAAAAGCCATTCATTACGTTTGAGCAGCATAAATACAACTGTCATTAGAGTCTGAGAAAGATCAGTCAGATAGTCATGGGCTAAGAAAGTTCCAAGAAATAGTATTTATTAAGAAAAAAACTTTAAACTCAGCACTGTCAAACATAGAGGAAAAACACTTATCTAAAACATAAAAAAGGAGATTGTCAAGCTAGAAGTCACCTTCTATAGAACAGCTGCCTGGGAGGGGCACCCAATGCCTTGGTGGCCAAGTTGTGAAGATAAATCAGGTAATCATCCTCATGGCATCTGATGTCTGAGAAACTCCATAAAGTGTCCTCCTATATAGCAATGATTAATTGA